CAAGATAAAATTTCTCCATTTGTCCAACATTATGAAATTAGGCTCATATTCAGCAGTATATGATTCCCTGAAACATCATGAGGTCTTTTCGTGTTCAAAATAATAACAAATTTATTCTACAACCTGTTTGTTTCAAAGCGCATCCTTTGGGTTTCATTTGGTCCTCGCATGTGTAAAGGGACAGAGTCCTTTTGGACTATCTGGCAATATTTATTTTATCTATTTACAGAATAAAATAAACCCTGGGGTCAAAGTATGCACTGGTGAGTACAAGTTCAGGTGACCATTTGTTGGCCATCTCCTAGGCAAGGGAATCTTAAACTTGGGAAGAAGGGAAGGTGCCCAAGGAAGAACAATTTCCCAGGGGAGAATTTTAGAATCAGTGAGTGGGGGGGTCTTTGAAAAATTCCACATGTCTCCTTATGCTAAATCAGGGGTCAGCAAACTGCAGTTCCTGGGCCAAATTCCAGCATCCAAGATTTCCTGGAAGGTATCCAGGCTCCTCTACCTCGCTGTGTCTGAGGCTGCTTCTGCAATGGCAGAGCTGAGTAGTTACGAGAGAGATCATGGCCCACCAAGTAGAAACTGTTAACAATCCAGCTCTTAACAGAAAGAATTTGTCAATCCCTGCCCTAGATACTTCTTGAGAATCATGAGTTGTCATTTCTAAGTAATGCATCCTTTTCCTTAGATATATTTCTCAGGGCTGTAACAGCTAAGTTTAGCTTTGCATGGCAGTAACAAAGAGCTGAAAAATAGTGGCTTAAACCAGCGGGTTCTATTTTGCTTAAAATTCTAGGGGTGACTGACACTTCCCAGAGTCAGGGATTAAGATTACTTCTATGCTTTTGCTCCTCTTCATTGCCAAGGTCACATGATAGTCCAAAATGGCTGCAAGAGAGCCAGGCATAACAGTCACATCCAGGTAGCAAGAAGAAAAAGTAAAAAGGACAGCCTCAACTCAACTTTTAAGGAAAGCTCTAGAAATACTACTAAACACTTAAGGTTATTAATCCTTGTCTAAACTTGGCCCCCTTGTTGTAGTGGAGGATCAGAAATATAGATTTTTAGTTGGTAGAAAGTTGCTCAGCTAACAAATCAGGGTTGTATAATTTTTAAGATGCGGTTTGTTGGTGATGGATATTTACAGATAGTTAGCAATCTCCCCCAGAGCAACCTTACTCCAATCACCAAGCCCCTTATTAAGATGGGCTCATGCCCTGCGCAGGACAGTCATTTGTGATATCTTCAAAATAATAAACTTTAAATATTTTTATAATTAAGATATGGTGAGATCAGTACCAGCGAGCAGTAACTTTGGTTGACTGTCTTCAAATCTCCATTCAAAAGTCCTGTCTCCTGAAGGAACTGGAGAAATGTGTCTTTCTTCAGTCACAGTGGAGTTGTATGTGTAGACCGGCATGAACCGAGTGCCTCTAACACAGTCCAGTGGAATTTCACCAGGGTCTTTTGATAGACTGCTGGCCTGGCTGGTGTGTCTGTGCCTGCAGGTCCCTGATGCTACTCCACCCCCACCACAATCTCCTTCATCACCACACATTCCATTTACCTTCCACACCTACAGAGACCACAAGTCAGAGAGACTGGATGTTCACCCACCCGCAAAGCCATATCTACTCCAACATCCAACACTAGAGGAACTTCTCTCTGCTTTCTAGTTTTTTTTTCCCCAAAATGTATATAGTTCTTAGGTACCAGAGATTGAACTCAGGGTCACTCGACCACTGAACACATCCCCAGCCCTATTTTGTATTTTATTTAGAAACAGGGTCTCACAGACGTACTTAGGGTCTCACTAAGTTACTGAGGCTAGCTTTGAACTAGCCATTCTCCTGTCTCAGCCTCCTAAGCAGCTGGGATTTCAGGTGTGTGGCACTGTGCCCAGCTCTTCCTAGGCTTTTAACATCTCTCTACAACTTGCAACTTGGTAGGTCCTGATAATTTTCAACCAAAAAGGGCTACTCATCTCGCTTTGAACACAGGTGGCAGGAGAGGCAGGGGTGGATCTAAGGATATATCAGGAAGGAAGATATTGCAAAGTCAAAAGTTAAGAACAAATCCTGAATCCTTGACTCCAGAGAGTTTTCTGCATACTAACAAGAGCAGAAAAGAAAAATTAAAAGTCCCATACCTTTGGCATAGTGGTTAGTACTTAGCAACTAGTCTCGTGCCAACATTTTTCTTATTCTACAAAAGTAAAAACGAGACTTTCAGTATCAACATGGAAAGTCCTGGGAATTTTTGTCTCACATAACAGTGCAGCCCGAATTGGCATAGTGTCCAAGACCCAGACCACCCCATATGTTTCATTTTCTATAAAGTTAGGAGACAGGTATCATCTGCAAAGTTCCAAGATATATTAGGCTGTCCCAAACAGCTGAAGTCAAATAGAAGCCAAATGGGAAAAAGTGAAGAGGAGAAACCATGAGGTGGCATACATACACCAGGAAAAATACACACCCCCCCACACACACACACTGAAGTTCAAAGAAATCTCTGTCCCCAAGTCTTGATACTGGGATAAGCAAGGGTCAATGTTCTGTTTTTAACAACTGTAGATTTGAGGTAGGAAGCAGACCTATACAAAGAACCAAAGAGATGAGCCATGTTTAAAGAGTTGGTTTCTTGAAAGAGGAGAGAAAGAAAGCTGTAAGACTATAAAATCGAGCTAGCCTAGACCATAACCCCAGCCCGTCCCGGCCACACCTACCCCAGCCTTACTTCCCAGTCTCCCTACATGGAGCTGGTATGGGAAAGCCAATGCCTTCAAATATGAGCAACAAGAAGAAATCACATGTACACCACTTCAACATCAATTAAAAAAGGGTTAAGGAAAACGCAAAGAAAGTGGTAGAAAAGCTTATCAATGGGAAAGTAATAGAAAATGCTGCCACTGAAGCATATGAGATTTCTGGCTAAATATTTTGCAATGAATTTTTAAGACTAAGGAAAGCAATTTCTGTAAGAAGGAAGATCACAAAACAGAAATAACTCAGAGGAAAGATGGCAAGAAACAAGGAGCAGTGGGAATGTGAGCTTGCAGAACTCAGAAAAGGGGGGAGGGCGGTAACCAAAGATAGAAATGAGTGTGCACAAGGGAGAAGAGACAGCAGGAAACACAGTAAGGGACAGCAGACCACAGTGAGGAAGCACCAAATGGAGTGGAAATAGAGATTAAAACTGCTAGAGAGAAGAGAAAAAGAGTCAGACAAGGGAAACGCCTGAAGAATGAACAGGATCAGAACAAATATTTAAAGATATAATCCAAGAAAACTTTTCTTATTAAAAAAAAAAAAAGCAGGGTCAAACATGACTTGTGAAGACAACAGATCAGGGAGAACAGGTCAATGCTAAGGAGCATCCTGACAGATTCAACATTTAAGATAAAGAAAGAACCCTTTAGGATGAAAAATAAAAAGATAAATGTTGGCCCCAGATTTTCTTAATCAAGTTAAACCCAAGAAGATAACTAAGCAACACTTACAAGATCCTCAACACACACACACACACACACACACACAGGCAAGTCAAGGTTTTTATATCCTACCAAACTGTTGTTAAAATATAAACAGCCAGGAGCTGGGGTTGTAGCTAGTGGTAGAGTGCTGGCCTACCACATGTGAGGCTCAGCACCACATAAAAAATAAATAAATAAAATAAAGGTATTGTGTCCATCTATAACTAAAACTATTTAAAATAAACAAAAATAACAAAAACAGTTGGTTCTGAACATGTAGGAAGTACAGAGATATTGTTTCCACAAGACCTTGAGCAAACTCACAGATAATGAACTGTGGTCATCTAAATAAGAGGGGAAATAAGGCAAAGGAAATAGCAGTAAGAAATGAACATTTTTATCTAGGGAAAGACTTGAAAAAACAAAGAAAGAAGCAAAAATCTGGGGATTTGCAGGCAGGATGGAAAGTGGATACCCCATGCCCTGACATCATAGCTATAATACAGCTGTCAAACTAGGACAAGAGGGAAGGATGGAGACGAAGAGCTAGACAGGAGGGGGTGGCTGATCCTTCGCTCACAGGTGGGAGTCAAAGGGGCTCATTTACAGAGGACAGGTCAGAAAGGTAATTAGAGCATTTCACTGATTGTCCTGCTTCTGTCCCTCTGGAGTTTCCAATGGCAGTTTGGGTAAAATCCCAGCCTCAGACTTTGCATGTGCTGGCCCTGCTGGCCTGTAGGCACGTCTCTACCAACATCCATCTCTTTCATGCCTTTCCACCTAGTTCCTGGAGCTGCACGTCCTTTGCTGCCACCCACATTCTGCACATGCCATCATCCCTCCAGGATGCCCATCTGCCTTCTGGAATGTCCCTTCCCCATTCCCTCAATGCCCCTCCAACTTCTACTGTCAGCCTCAATGTTTCAAAAACGCCAAAACTGACTTCCCCAACTGAAATGAGTTCTTTGATTATATCCAGTGCATTTTTTTCCTTATAATACTCCAAACTGGTGGGATTATTTATTTACAATCTGCTTTTCCCATAAGATTGTGGAGTCCAAGAAGGCAGACCTAATTCTGCTTGAAACCCATTTAAATTCTGGGTCCTAAGAATGATCTTTATATGTAGGAAATGCTTAATAAATAAATATTCATTGAGATGAACAAAACAGCCTTTACCCCACCAACCACTCTTTCTCTGCCTCCTCTCCTCTGTATCTGAACAGTGATAATGGTAAGAAATTACTTCTAAAAACAAGACCAAAAAACTGCAAGACCTTTAAAACATTCTGTTTTATATACTTTATTTACTAAGCCAGGAAAGAATAAAAATGCATTTTCGAAAGATTTCCAGAGAGGACTGATATAAAAGAGCTTTCTCATAAGCTGTATTATCACCATGAATGCAGAAGACATTCTGTCTCAGGCGCTTTGGGGTCTGGTGAAATTCTATTGTATGTTTCCACATGCCATTTGTCACACGCAGACAGGAAAGTATAAAAGCAGAAAGCTTTCCACTTACTTTGGATGTTCAAACTTGTCTATAAGATCAACCTTTTCCACCAGGTCTCCTCCAATTGTTCGGACTAAGTCATAGAAATCATTCTCTGTGTAATTCTCAGAGGGCAACCAGAATGAGATGTCATTTATCACGGCAGGGTATTTGCTGAGAGGCTAACAAAACAAGAGAAGAAAAGATAGATGGACTTGTTAGTTGGATGAAAATAAATTTTTCATGGAAACTTTTACTTAGTTAATTAGGAAATGCTGATAAAACGTTATTTTAGCATTTGAATTTTCAGGAACAAAATGAACTGATAAGATAAATCAATATTCAAAATTAGCAAATTCTATTATGAATGCTACAGATTCTTATCACATTCATGTGTAACGTTATCATATATTATATTTATATTGCAATTAATGTCCAATTTAGTATAAAGCAATTTGAATATATCATATTCAGATTTTCCCATTTGAATTCTGGAGGAGAAAAGTTCAAATTTAATTAACATGCAATTCATTAACTTTTGATGATACTTTCAGGAAGCCATCTTAATAGAGAAATAAGTAAAGGCTTGTCAAAATGGATATTTCAATTAGTAATGTCATTATTTGTTGCTATTCCTAATTATTAAAACAAGGGACTGGGTTAGAAAGTAGTCATCTCGGGGGTTGTTTTCAAATTTTGCCTCTATGGATATAATAAACACAAACAGTTATTTCCCCCATTTTATTCCATTTTTCCATGGTTTCTTATTAGCTCAGTATTTATCACTATATTGGATAGACATTGAAATTAGATATATTTAGAAGTTCCTGCATTTGTGAACATGCTTAGGCACATCATAACCTCAGATATACATATAAGTTCTAGACTACATGTTAGTATAGACTAAAAGACAAAATGTTCCATTATATAACTATGAAATCCTAAAGGAATATTCTAAGGAAATAAGCTATACATTTTCTAGAAGGACAAATTTGCAAATTGATCTATGCCAAATCTGATACCAGTAACACCCCCTCTCCCCACTCCCCGTGAATCACTGATCCAGAAAAAATATAAACTTCTAAATGGCAAAATCTCTAAAGAACTAAATTTACATAAATGATTGTTCAACTTAAAATATCAATAAGGTGTCAAACCAATAAATCAGTTTAGAGTACATCAAAGAGCATAATACAGCTACCATTTTCCTGTCTTTGACAAAATACTTCAGCTCCCGAGAAACATCCTTTGTTTTCTCCCCTAAAATAAAATCAGGATGCTGTGATAAATAACCCATGGGTCACATAAGAGATGGAAGTTGGGTGGCTATGCAAGTTGTTTTTCCTTTTGAAAACACTCTTGTGGCCCTTAAGGAACATGTAAATTTAGGAAGATCAGTAGGAAACTAACTGATGAAATCTCCTCTCCAAAATCTAAGCTGAGGAGCACACTTTCCGAGCTCTTGATGTGAGGCAAAGTCACAAGGAAATGGGAGAAGTCCCCCAACCAAGCACTTTTGTCAGTATTCCATGGGTAACAGTTAATAAGGCAGTCAGCCAGAAAACATCCCCCCCGCAATTTAATAAAAAAAAAAAAAAATACATTACTGTAAATACAGTTTCAAAAACCATGGAATTAGAAAGCCCACACTTTATTGTATTGCAAAGTATTTCAAGCTAAGAAAGGTAACAAGTCTTAAGTTTTGGCTTTAGAAAGAAAGCATACATTCCACTAATTGGTAGGTACCAGACATGGGATAGCTACTAGTGGCCCTTGTTTTTTTAAGTAAG